GCCGTGATGTCGTCGTCCGTGACTGTGGTCGTCTGTGACTGTGGTCGTCCATGACTGTGGTCGTCCGTGACTGTGGTCGTCCGTGACTGTGGTCGTCCGTGACTGTCGTCGTCCGTGACTGTAGTCGTCCGTGACTGTCGTCGTCCCTGACTGTTGTCGTCCGTGATTGTCGTCGTCCATGACTGTCGTCATCCGTGACTGTCGTCGTCCGTGACTGTCGTCGTCCGTGACTGTCGTCGTCCGTGACTGTCGTCGTCCGTGACTGTCGTCGTCCGTGACTGTTGTCGTACCTGACTGTCGTCGTCCCTGACTGTCGTCATCCGTGATTGTCGTCGTCCATGACTGTGGTCGTCCGTGACTGTGGTCGTCCGTGACTGTCGTCGTCCGTGACTGTCGTCGTCCGTGACTGTCGTCGTCGGACTGTTGTCGTACCGACTGTCGTCGTCCCTGACTGTCGTCATCCGTGATTGTCGTCGTCCATGACTGTGGTCGTCCGTGACTGTGGTCGTCCCTGACTGTCGTCGTCCGTGACTGTCGTCGTCCGACACCTCCAACTGGATAAGCACCTCCAAAGGATACCTGATCAACCAGGCTGTGACTCATACGTCAGGCTGCGAGCAGCCGCGTCCAACAGCCTGGTTGATCAGTCCGGCAACCAGGAGGCCTGGTCGACGACCGGGCCGCGGGGACGCTAAGCCCCGGAAGCACCTCAAGGTAAGGTCCGTGACTGTGGCCTCGGAGGCAACTCGGGGGCTGCAGGTTCTGCCTGACCTGTGTCGTCACTAGCAGGAATTTACCTGGTTCATAACTATTCAAATTAAATATAATACTTTTCATCACACCTCCAATTAGTTGGAGGCGTGATGACCTGCTACAGGAGCTGTAGCAGCTGCAACTGCAGCAGCTCCTGTAGCAGCTCCTGTAGTAGCTCCTGCAGCAGCTCCTGTAGCAGCTCCTATAGCAGCTCCTGTAGCAGCTCCTATAGCAGCTCCTGTAGCAGCTCCTGTAGCAGCAACTGCAGCAGCAACTACAGCAGCAACTACAGCAGCTCCTGTAGCAGCTCCTGTAGCAGCAACTGCAGCAGCAACTACAGCAGCAACTACAGCAGCTCCTGTAGCAGCTCCTGTAGCAGCAACTGCAGCAGCAACTACAGCAGCAACTGCAGCAGCAACTTCAGCAGCAACTACAGCAGCTCCTGTAGCAGCTCCTGTAGCAGCTCCTGTAGCAGCAACTTCAGCCCTTCCTCATCAACTGCCGAACAAAAATCTTGAAGCTCTGACTGAAGCAAAATGACTTAATTTACCTTTTCAAAGAAAGCGGAAAAAGGTGAAAGTTCACTTGAAGGTTCTGACTGGCTGTCGTGAGGTGTCCGGGGAGGATGACTGACAACCGCATCTCTCTCGCGGTTGGTGCTGCCTCAGCATCCGCCATCTTTTGTAATGTGCACAGCGTGTTTAAACATGTGTCCCCTGAGGACGCAGATGTAACCCAAGCCCCCGCCCCAGAGGACGCAGACGTAACCCAAGCCCCCGCCCCGGAGGACGCAAAAGTAACCCAAGCCCCCGCCCCAGAGGACGCAGACGTAACCCAAGCCCCCGCCCCAGAGGACGCAGACGTAACCCAAGCTCCCCGCCCCAGAGGACGCAGATGTAACCCAATCCCCCCCCCCCCGGAGGACGCAGACGTAACCCAATCCCAAGAATGCTGTGATACTCTGGAGGAAACTTGTCAACGCTGCAGACTCGACACTGGCGCTCGGGAGGAGCCTCAGGAGTTGAATGGCCACTAATCAGAACTTCCTGATGTGGGAGCTGGGCCTGGACGGGGGGAGACGCCGGGCCTGGACGGGGGGAGACGCCGGGCCTGGACGGTGGAAGACGCCGGGCCTGGACGGGTGGGGGGAGACGCCGGGCTGGACGGGGGGAGACGCCGGGCCTGGACGGGGGGAGACGCCGGGCCTGGACGGGGGGAGACGCCGGGCCTGGACGGGGAGAGACGCTGGGCCTGGACGGGGGGGGGGGAGACGCCGGGCCTGGCGGGGGAGACGCTGGGCCTGGACGGGGGGGGGGGGGAGACGCCGGGCCTGGACGGGGGGAGACGCCGGGCCAGGGACGGTGGAAGACGCCGGGCCTGGACGGGTGGGGGGAGACGCCGGGCCGGAGGGGGGAGACGCCGGGCCGGAGGGGGGAGAGCCGGGCCTGGACGGGGGGAGACGCCGGGCCTGGACGGTGGAAGACGCCGGGCCTGGACGGGTGGGGGAAGACGCCGGGCCTGGAGGGTGGGGGAAGACGCCGGGCCGGACGGGGGGAGACGCCGGGCCTGGCGGGGAAGACGCCGGGCCTGGACGGGTGGGGGAAGACGCCGGGCCTGGACGGGTGGGGGAAGAGCCGGGCCTGGACGGGTGGGGGAAGACGCCGGGCCTGGACGGGTGGGGGGAAGACCCGGGCCGGAGGGGGGGGAAGACGCCGGGCCTGGACGGGTGGGGGAAGCGCCGGGCCTGGACGGGTGGGGGAAGACGCCGGGCCTGGACGGGGGATGGGATGAGAAGCAGGGCCAGGACAGGGCAGCGAACCTGTTTATTTGTGTCCCTTCCGATTGAGACCTCCGCCAACTCAAGGAGATGAGCTGTTTTACCTCGGCGCTCAGATGGATTTTGAGATTCGACCATAGCTTTCAGGGAGCTTACTCATCGCGTTCACGGGGGCTCAATTATTGTATTCTCAACCTGCCGTCCCTTGTACATCGCGTGCAAAGCGTTTTCCCCCTCATAATCCGATGTTTTGTCGGCTGAATTAACGAGTATCTGGCCATTGCCGATAAGGACGAGCTGCGCCTTCATGAGCTCAGAAATTGTGGTTAAAAATCTCAAGTCGTTCCCACACACCGACACATTAGTTCAAAATAAGACTTATCAGTCACGCTAATAAGTCAGTATTGGACTTCTGCTACTGACACTCATCTAGATAAATATATCATGGACGTGTTTTTTTTCTTTAAGAGGAATTTTTTTCATGTTATATTACGATTTTATATATTGGCTTAATGGTTACGTTGATTTACTTAGTGTTTATATTTGAAGATGAATTAAGACCGTTTCGCGTCATAGCTACATTGGTCTGTGGGTGATTGCTGGTTGGGCGCCAGCCTATCGTCATCAACCAGCCCGTCCCCATCAACCAGCCTATCGTCATCAACCAGCCCGTCCCCATCAACCAGCCCGTCCCCATCAACCAGCCTATCGTCATCAACCAGCCCGTCCTCATCAACCAGCCCGTCCCCAATCAACCAGCCTTCTCACAACCAGCCCGTCCTCATCAACCGCCCGTCCCCATCAACCAGCCCGTCTCATCAACCGCCCGTCCTCATCAACCAGCCCGCCTCATCAACCGCCCGTCTATCAACAGCCGTCCTCATCAAACCTGCCCGTCTCATAACCAGCCCGTACTCATCAACCAGCCCGTACCATCAACTAGCCCGTCCTCATAACCGCCCGTCCTCATCAACCAGCCCGTATCATCAACCAGCCGTACTCATCAACCAGCCCGTCCTCATCAACCAGCCCGTACTCATCAACCAGCCCATCTTCCCCAACCAGCCCGTCCTCATCAACCAGCCGTTGACACCTTCATCAACCTGACGAAGGACGACCGTGACGAAGGACGACCGTGACGTAGGACGACCGTGACGAAGGACGACCGTGACGTAGGACGACCGTGACGAAGGACGACCGTGACGAAGGACGACCGTGACGTAGGAGACCGTGACGAAGGACGACCGGAGAAGGACGACCGGAGTAGGACGACCGGACGAAGGACGACGTGAGAGGAGACCGTGACGAAGGACGACCGTGACGAAGGACGACCGTGACGAAGGACGACCGTGACGAAGGACGACCGTGACGTAGGACGACCGTGACGAAGGACGACCGTGACGAAGGACGACCGAGACGAAGGACGACCGTGACGTAGGACGTCCGTGACGAAGGACGACCGTGACGTAAGACGACCGTGACGTAAGACGTCCGTGACGAAGGACGACGTGAAACGGTAAGGGACGACCGTGACGCCAAAAAATGCGGTTTAAAACGCGAGAAAAAAGCGGTTTAACAGAGAAAAAATGCGTTTAAACCAGGAAAAAAGCGGTTTAAACGCGGGAAAAAAGCGGTTTAAACGCGGAAAAAAGCGTTTAGAACCAGGAAAAAAGCGGTTTAAACGCGGAAAAATGCGGGGAACGGAGAAAAAACGTTTAGAACGCGAGAAAATAGAGTTTAGAACCGGAGAAAAATAGCGGTTCAGAACGGAGAAAAAACGGAGAAGCGAGAAAAGTAGCGGAAAAACGCGGAAAAAAGCGGTTTGGAAACCGAGGAAAAAATGCGGTTTAGAACGCGAGAGAAAAATAGCGGTTTAGAACGCGAGAAAAATGCGGTTTAGAACGCGAGAAAAATGCGGGTTTAGAACGCAGGAAAAAAATGCGGTTTGAACGCGAGAAAAATAGCGGTTTAGAACGCGAGAAAAATAGCGGTTTAGAACGCGAGAAAAATAGTGGTTTAGAACACTAGAAAAATAGCGGTTTAAAACGCGAGAAAAATAGCGGTTTGGAACGCGAGAAAAATAGCGGTGAAGAACGCGAGAAAAATAGCGGTTTAAAACGCGAGAAAAATAGCGGTTTAGAACGCGAGAAAAATAGCGGTTTAGAACGCAAGAGAAATAGCGGTGTAGAACGCGAGAAAAATAGCGGTTTAACGCGAGAAAAATAGCGGTTTAGAACGCGAGAAAAATAGCGGTTTAGAACGCGAGAAAAATAGCGGTTTAGAACGCGAGAAAAATAGCGGTTTAGAACGCGAGAAAAATAGCGGTTTAGAACGCGAGAAAAATAGCGGTTTGGAACGCGAGAAAAATAGCGGTTTAGAACGCGAGGAGAAAAATAGCGGTTTGGAACGCTGAGGAAAAATAGCGGTTAGAACACTAGAAAAATAGCGGTTTAGAACGCGAGAAAAATAGCGGTTTAGAACGCGAGAAAAATAGCGGTTTAGAACGCGAGAAAAATAGCGGTTTAAAACGCGAGAAAAATAGCGGTTGAAGAACGCGAGAAAAATAGCGGTTTGGAACGCACGAGAGAAAATAGCGGTTTAGAACGCGAGAAAAATAGCGGTTTAAAACGCGAGGAAAAATAGCGGTTAGAACGCGGGAAAAATAGCGGTTTGGAACACGGAGAAAAAATAGCTGTTTAGAACGCGAGAAAATAGCGGTTTAGAACGCGAGAAAAATAGCGGTTTAGAACGCGAGAAAAATAGCTGTTTAAAACGCGAGAAAAATAGCGGTTTAGAACGCGAGAAAAATAGCGGTTCGGAACGGAGAAAAATAGCTGTTTAGAACGCAAGAAAAATAGCGGTTTAGAACGTGAGAAAAATAGCGGTTTAGAACGCGAGAAAAATAGCGGTTTAAAACGCGAGAAAAATAGCGGTTTGGAACGCGAGAAAAAATAGCGGTTTAGAACGCGAGAAAAATAGCGGTTTAGAACGCGAGAAAAATAGAGGTTTAGAACACGAGAAAAATAGCGGTTTAGAACGCGAAAAAATACCCTTTTGGAACGCGAAAAAATAGCGGTTTGGAACGCGAAAAAATAGCGGTTTAGAACGCGAGAAAAATAGCGGTTTAGAACGCGAGAAAAATAGCGGTTTAGAACGCGAGAAAAATAGCGGTTTTGAACGGGAGAAAAAAATGGCGGTTGGATCGGTAAAAAATAGCTGTTTGGAACGGGAAAAAATAGCGGTTTAGAACGCGAGGGAAAAATAGGGGTTTAGAAACGGGAAAGAAAAATAGCGGTTTGGAACAGGAGAAAAAAATAGCGGTTTAGAACGCGAGAAAAATACCGGTTTGGAACGGGAGGAGAAAAATACCCTTTTTGGAACGCGGTTTGAGAAAAATAGCGGTTTGGAACGCGAGAAAAATAGCCGTTTGGAACGGGACAAAAATAGCGGTTTGGAACGGGAAAAAAATAGCGGTTTGAAACGGGAAAAAAATAGCGATTTGGACGGGAAAAAATTGCGGTTTGGAACGGGAAAAAATAGCTGTTTGGAACGGGAAAAAATAGCGGTTTGGAACGGGAAAAAATAGCGGTTTGGAACGGGAAAAAAATAGCTGTTTGGAACGGGAGAAAAATAGCGGTTTGGAACGGGAGAAAAATAGCGGTTTGGAACGGGAGAAAAATAGCGGTTTAGAACGCGACAAAATAGCGGTTTAGAACGCGAGAAAAATCGTGGTGTGGAACGCGATATCCAGCAGTTTATACTG